CCAGCTCACAGTCACCACATCGTAGCTAAAAAACCCCAACAATCAGACAACCTGCTATCAGCAAGCCCTTGGTGAGTCCACCTATCTATGCATTGAATTCAGTGCCACAGGGGGAGAGCCAGGTACACTGTGGACAGGCTGTCAGTCTGTCACAGGGCTAACACAGAGAAATAACCAGGTGCTCAGCACTGATGCCTCGCAGCAAGAAGGTCCTGGTTGGAATCCACCATCTGTGTGGAGCTTGTATGTTTTCCCTCGCTTCTTTCCGACTGATGTGGCTTTCTCCCACAGTCCAAGATGAGCAGTTATTGGAGGTTAACTGGTGATTGTAATTGCATACATGTGTGAATGTGAGTGGTTTGTCTGTCTCAGCTCAGGGGCAGCCATCTGCCACGAAAAGGAAGACTTTGAAATTGTTTCATTACCACCACCTTAAAGCCTTTAATAAGGATAAACTGGTCATATTTCAAACTGTGAGACTCTTCTGTCCTGTCTCTGCTCTCTCCCTCACCTACCAGCAGGTCGCACTGGATGGCTGCCACACCTGAGCCTGGTTCTGATCAACTTCCTGTTTAAAGGCTGTTTTTCCCTCCTTCCTTTGCAGACTGTTAGCTTATTACAATAAAGCGCCTTGTTGTGAATTGGCACTATAGAAGCAAAATGGAATTAAATTAAAATGTGTCTGACACGACTGTGAGTGTGAGAAGACGATGCAGGGTTTTGAAATTCACACCAAAGGTGCCGCTACTCAAAGTTTGAATTTCAGCCTCAAGGTCAGAGGTCAAGCTTTCTGAATCTCTGGTGACTGTGATAACTGAAGCAGGAAGTCACCAAGGACATTCAAATGTAACTGTACGCACAGCTACGTGGAGGCTGAGGGGTAGCACCTGTTCACACACTCACACAGTGTGATAGATGCATCCAGGGCAAGTGTAAGAGTCAGGGTGAAAGAGTGTGTGTGTTTGTGTGTGTCTATGAGGCTTATAGTAAGAAAGTATTAAAGCTGTGTATATGTACCACTGTGTTCACTGTTAAGAATTAAAATGGTTCTGAGGGTGGGAGGAGATTCAACTCAATAATAGTATGGATGATGATAATGAAGTCGCACACAGTGTAATATACCTTTAGATCTGAGAAAACGAAACTCTTTTACTGGGACATTTACTGGGATATTTGCTTTGGCTGTTTCTAAAATGAAGTGTGGCTATCTAAGTCACCACTGTCAACACGACACATTCTTACTCCGCTAAAAGCACTTACAGAGCTGCACTTACAGAGCTGCACTACAGAG